TACTGAAAGAGAATTACTTCAAATTAATGTATAAATCGCATTATATGTGAAATTGACTATTATGAAGGCAAAACGCGGTTTCATAATCACTTCCATATTGAACGTATTCACCATAAGTTCAAATCTTGACATTTCATATTTGTTTAAATGAATTCATAATCACTATATACCGAAACTAAATAATTAGTTGAGATACATTGCCAATTAATTAATTCAGTTGTCAAGCACACAGACAGTTCAAATTGTTCCGAAAAAAAAAGATTTCAAAAGCTATCCTTCGTAAGTTAATGATTAACAATATTTACTTACCGCCTCACTAATTGGTCAATTTAACACCTCAAAAATCATTTGAGAAAAGTCCGTGGAAATTGAAAATACAACATATCAATCGATATCACTATTTACTTAGCAACGTAAGTCGAAAGCACAATAGATTCAGCTCTTCTCTTCTTTGTCACGTTTGGACGTTGAGGCATTCTTAGTAAAATTGAACTTAAGTCCAGCATTCGTCAAATGCCACTTTATTAATACAAATCAAACAATCGCTGATTTAGAATAAGCATTAAGTGAAAGCGATTATGATTCAATAATAATAATGCATCGTTTGACTTTCTCCTGAAATTTTTGAAACAACTCCTTTTAAGTTGTTCATATTCTTGAAATATGCTATTCGTAAATACAAAACGATATCGAAATCGAGCTAATACGAATAAAAGCGTTTAATTTTTACAATTCATACTATTCATTATTAAAAGATTTCCCTTTTCTCAAATCTTTTTTTCTAATAGATTTTAAATTTGAACAAAGCCTGGGTCGAAGTGCTTAATTAGTAAACCTTAAATGACTAATAATTAATCCAAATCCATTTTCTTATTTCATTTAATGACCGATTAAGGAAGTAAAGGCAAAGTTTAAAGTGAATATGAAATTGGAAAAATAAAGAGTAATTCAGTAAATGAAGAACATCAAAACAATAACAACAGTTTCACCGTTGATAAGTCCTTTGGTCATCTTTGGGATCTTAACTTCTATAGTCAAGGAGAAGTGCCACAAAGAGGGCAAGTGCAATTCCTGCACCGAATGCGGCCAAAATCGGACTCAAGTTTAATGATTGACTGGTGAGATAAAAGGCACCAGCAATGGCCAGAAGAGCAGTGATTCCTGCTGCTACAATTGCTGCAATGGCCATTCGAGATGAACCTTGGAGGTTTACCAAAAGTAAGAAAATGGCGACAAGTAGGGCCCCAACAATCGCAGCTGCCAACAAAAATCCTACGACCTTAAATGCGTGGTTTTGAATGCAATTCGTTCCAAAAATATTTCCTCGGCAGGGCCAGTCTGGAATACCAACCGAAATTATGAGCAAAATAAGAACCAGACATGCGAGAAGACCAAAAACGATATTTCGATTCATGATCTAAATTAATGGAGGTAAATTATAGAGCCTTCACTATTTTCTACTTAAATACGATCCCTTAAATACTGCTGTTTTGCTGCTATTATTATTGGTCACACAAAGATTAATAAAAGAATTATATCGAATAGCAGGTCTTCTAGAATGAATTAATTGCACTAATTATGAATACTGGCAGATAATAAAAAACAGAATTTATCAAGATAGGCTTTAATGCCTATTTGCTATCGCTTCTACTCTTGTTATCATTATTATTCACTTTCATATTATTTATGAATAATTCCTCATTTTAAATAATGAAGCTAGTAATCTTGTGCAGACTCTTGGGAAATGCACATCTACCTTTATGCAGAAACTACCAATTCTTTCTATGTGGAGAGCATTTTGTTCAAGTTTGCCTTCTACTTCTATTGGAGCTATCGTAAGCCTAAGCTTTCACTTATGTCTGCAAGATTTCTATTCGCAAACATTTCCCATACTATTTTTATAACGAAATGAGTTTTGCGATTCTAGTCGAACTTTCAAATTATCAGGTTATACGGTTAATTGTGTTTTTTTAAATCTTCTGTCCTTTGTTTGTTGAAAACAATTGAGAAAGTCACAAAGAGAAGGGCAAATTTTGTGATGACGAGGTGTGCAATAGACTTACCTCCACGTGGTGCACTCTGGGAAACGTATATTAATACGGCAAAAAAGTCTATTAACTGGCAGTTGCCTTCTCACTTCAAACTACCACCACCTCACTCTATGCCATATTCGACTATTTCTACAGTATTCTCCTCACCTTTTTTCTACCTTTGTGTTTGTCTCTTACATCTTTTTCAATTTGATGTTCCTTCCCCTCTGTGAAGCCTGAAGTCAACTAAAGGGTTAATGATAACCATCAAGACGCCTACCATTTGACATAAATAAATAAATTTTTCGATGGCTTAATCAATTGAGAAATCAGATTCAAAGTTCACTAGACACTTAACGCTATAATTTCAGTCTCATTCAAGAGATTACTAAACTGTTTGAATAAAAGTATTTTTCATATTCTCCGTTTAAAAATAGTGGCATTTTATTTAATTTCTATCGTTTCATTCAAATTCAACGTTTATTGCCTAATTCATTCCTTAAAATTTACTGACTTCGAAATTTTCGAACTATTTTGTCACTCTGTAATTCGCCTGCAAAACATGATGCCTGAAAAATCTAACCTCCACGGTAGCCAAGCGTGTCTCGTATGTTTGTTTGAACTATAAATCGATGTTTTTTATTCCCTACCTTTGCACATTTCAATGCCAATATCAGAATTGCTCTTATCTCACAGAATCGATGGAAATACGACTCCCATCATTTCTTTTCATTTTAATCAAATTAATTACAACAGATAACTCTTCCTTACTTGCATACTAGACGCATTACAATAAAACGATAATCAAATATTTTATTTATTTAATTCTCTATCAGTCTGACAATGGCAAAATTAGATCACAAATAACCTCATTAATAAGGCTCTTCAAAGAAATCAGTAAGTGGACAATCCGATTTTTTTATCATTTAATTTTAGGTGCTATCGTATAATTCTGCATTCTGACAGTCACCATCGTCTCCTTAGTTTTCCTTTTCGCCAAACGCAGGCCAATGTGATCACTACTGTTCTCTTGTTAGGTGCGGCTATGTGAATTCTGCCTGTGGGTAGTTTCCTCATCTATCTAATAAAAGAAGAACCCAATTGGGACCTTTTGACTGCTCTCATCTTGTCCGCCTTTGGAGCAATTCTAGCCATTGTTGGTGTGTGCTATTACGTTGGAAACTTTGGCCATTGTAGTCCAATTCTTGTCACCATTGGTACTGGAATCCCGATCTGTCTATTCATTGCAATGGCTTTTGAAGTGGGTGGAGAGTAATTTATGCTAAAACAATTTTAAACTTTAAATGTTTCAAATCTGTGAATTTGTGCTGCCATCATTTACAATATTGTTAACGAGGGTAAGAATTTATTATTATTCGTTGTATTCACTTTCAAGTGCTCCTTATAGATTGAACGAGTGCAAAATGTTCTCATATCGGCTAAATTGCGAATTGATTCAATTTTAAACTGGAACTTCCAGTTTTCCACTCACATTTATAAAATCACATTTCACCGCATAAACTGAAATCGAAATGAACTGAATGTGTTATTTTGGACTGCAAGAGGCTGTAAGCGCAGTATCGCAGAAAAGAAACTATTTATAATCCGGCTTTAGAAATTTGCGTCATCTTGACGTTGCAAATGAAATTCGGAAAACATGGAGTGAAGTTAGAATACAATGTGGGTGCTAGATTGGGATCAGCAAGTATTTCGTTCTTAAAGCTATGAAACAAAAAAGGAAATAGGTCTAAAGTTGTATCATCACCAACTTTGAAATCCTGGTGGGGAATGAAAGAAATATTGACAAACTAGTGGAATTTATGAATCCATAGTCTGGTAATTAATTGTTCAACGTAATTGCCAATTCGACTAATTTTGCGCTTAGCCGGTGAAGTGTAGATCGAAATTCCTGCTAATATATTGCATTGGAAATGAGTTACGTGTGCCCACGCGTGCCGAACAAACGGTGAAATGGGAATTTTTTTGAATGTACTCCATGAGAGTAGTCAAGTCATCTGATTAATACATTCACATCTGTTCAATTTGATGTATGTAACAAACTTATTAACACAACGATTGAATAATTACTTCTCGAGAAATCGATTTATCTTAGTGAATGATTTCAGCTGAATTATATACCTATGTGTTAATTGCCAAAAAAACAAAATTATGACCGGATGAGTAAGCTAAATTTATACAACCAAAAACGAATCATAAAACAATTACGTACTTCAATTATATTTTATTGTATCAATAAATTTGGAGGATGGATATAATTAAGGCTCATAGTATGATGGGTAATGAAAATTGAAATGACAGTAGTTCTAACTGTAAAATTCATCTCTAATTTGTTTGAATTAATTAATTGCCACCATAACGGAAAAATATATGCCATTATTTGGAATGAATATTATACCCAATAAATGCACGGATATATGAATATGCTAAAGGCGTGCATAGCCGTTAACACAGAATGGGCAACAACTGGTTACGATCTCACTACTTGCAATATTTGATACCTCAAGAGTCATTCCCGAAGGCTCCATTAAATTATAAAAACACATACAGTTCTGCAGAATTTGACATTTCGATCACCAAATATGATAGAACCACAAAACCTTTTTTTAACTTTCAAGAAACACAAAAATTTTCGAATTTTATCACAATTATTTCTATATAAATAGAGAAAGGCTTTGTCGAAGACATTTAAATTAGATTAATCTGAGGAGAAATATTCAAAGAAACTGTTTGTGCGCCAAATAGTCAAAATATACATTAGAGGATTCATTTAACTGCATTCATCCAGAAATGCTCATCAGCAGATATTTTATTTTGTAATGAAGGAAGCAATGACATTGCAAAATGTAAATGTGAAATGTAGGATGAAAATACGAGGCAAAGAAATGAATAAATTAGAAGCAAAATAGCAGATTCAACGTTGCTTATAGTTGTCTGTCACCTTGGAGGGTTTTAACTGTTATAATCAAATAGAAGAGCTACAAAGAGACCAAGTGCAATTCCTGCACCAACTGCTGCGATAATCGGACTCCACCAAAGTAAGCCATTGGCGTAATAAAATACAGCAGCTATGGCTAGAAGTGCAGTTATTGCTGCTGCAATAAGTGCCACAATGAACATCCGAGTTGAACCCTGGAGGAACACTAACAATAAGAAAATGGCGACGAGAAGGGCCGCAACAGTCGCACCTGCCAACAAAATCCCTACGATCTTATATGCGGAGATACTAATACAAGTTGATCCAAGGATATATCCAGCACAGTTCCATCTCGGAATTCCAAGAGAAAGAATGAGAAGAAGGAGTACAAGGCATGCGAGAAGACCATAACCGACATTCTTATTCATGATCGACGCCAATAATGTGACTATAGAGACGAACGCAAAGCTTCCAAAGCCCCTTGTTTAAACACTGCCACTTCATGATTGTATCACAACACCCTAATCCTATAAAGAGCAATAAAACGATTTAATCCAATCACAGGCTTTCAAAATAAATTTAATTGTTCTCCATATGGAATAATGGCAGCTAAAAACACTAGAACAAAAAAGATTAGTAATTGATCCCTGTTTATCATGATGTAAACTGGATCAATAACCACTTCCTTGTTATTGATTATATTGTAGTAATGAATAAATTGAAAATGTAAGGTCAATTTTAAATGGCGAATTACGATTTCATGCAACACCATCATACATATGCACATTTCTTTTGTTGTTTATGTTACTATCAGTAGCATTTGGTGTGCTGCTTTTATTCCATTTCTCAAATGCATGAATCCAGTCGTGTTCAGGTTTGTCTCTTCCTTCTCAGATGTTTTCAATTTTCTATTGACGTTGTGGCAACTTGATTTCCCTAAATGCCTTGTAGGTCTTTAACTATAAGCGCTCAACTAAGCTTAAGATCTTAACAATCTGAGTGTCCATGTCATCAGAAATGTAAGTTATTTTTCATTACTTTGTTTTAAGAAATTGAATTTCATTGATAAAGATTCCCATACTGATATAAACCACTAGTTTGCATTTACAACTTCAAATCAATTGTTTGATTTCATTGTAAGTCGATTTTTTTATAGTTTCCATGTTTAGCACATTTCAATATCATCATCAGACTTGCTCAAGCCTTGCAGACTCCATGGAATAATGTGCAATTTCTGTTCTTTATTTTTGTAACTCAACAATCATAACTGATAAAGCTTCTTTAATCGCATTCTAAACACATTATAAACTACTCGACAATAAAAATTTTATTTTAACTATATTCTTCTTGCCTACCAATGGCAATAACCTCATCAATATAAAGCTTCAAATGACCAAGTAAGAGAATAATCAAATTTAAGAAGCGCCTGATTCATGGACCGTCGTATTGGTTACATTTTAATCGCTTTCCTTACAGCCTTTCTGTGAATTTTTGGTGTCGGCTTCAACCGGTGGCACTGCAACTCGAGTCTCCTTAGTCCTGCTTGTCGTCAAACACAGGCCAATGTGATCACTGCTGTTCTCTTGTTGGTTGCAGCTCTGTGAATTCTACTTGCGGGTGGTTTCCTCATCCATCTGATAAAAGAAGGACCCAATTGGGCCCGTTTGACTGCTCTCATCTTGTCCGCATTTGAAGCCATTCTAGCCATTGCAGGTGTGTGTTATTACACTGACAATTGTGGTCAATGGAGTCCCATTCTTGCCTCAATTGGTACTGGAATCCTTATCTGCCTATTTATTGCAATGACTTTCCAAATGGCTGGAGAGTAATTTATGCTGAAACAACTTTAAACTTGAAAGGTTTCAAATTAGTGAACTTGTGCTGCCATCATTTACTATATTGTTAATAAGGGTAAAAATTTATTAATTATTGTTTTCATTCACTCTTAAGAACTCCTTACTTATTTAACGGGAATATAAATATTCTTATAACTGCTAAATGTTAAATTAACTCGATTTTTAAATCAAAACTTCCAGTTTTCTAATCACTTGTATAAAATTATGTTTCACTTCATTGACGGAAATTGGATTGAACTGCGCGTGTTATTTTGGACTGTAAGAGGCTGCAATTTGTGGGACACGTTATCGCTTTTTGCGTCATCGTATGCCCGCACGCCAGGATTGGGAGATGCGCCGTACAACTCTGTGTACAGCGACCGTACAAACAGTGACCAATCATTAACCTCTGTTTGTTTAACCTAATCCGCTAAGTTGTTAAAGACAAAGCATCCGTCCTATACTCATAACCGGCGTGAGACATCCCGAATACAAGAATTCCTCATCATCCGCCTCTTCTCTCTATAGCTTGGTGAAAGCTTAGCTAGTTTGGGAAGCCTAATCTGACAAAGAGATTTCTGAGTAGTCAGGCTTTATAAAATTAGCAAACCGCTACAAATCGCAGTATCTCAGAATGTGGCCTATTTCTATCAACCCAAAAAAGTAACTATTTTTAAATCGGCTTTAGAAAATAGCGTCATCTTGGTGTTTCATATGAAATTCAGAAATCACGGAGTGAATTAAGAATACACTATGCGTGTTATATTGAGACGTCTGAAGATGGAATCCCAAACACATAGAGTTCTTCAAGTCAGCATGACAAAGTCTTAAAATTTACTGCCTAATTAATTTTCCTTGTTGTAAATATTCTCAGACAATCAACAAAATCAAAATGACTAATTAACATGGGAATAATGATCTCTCCATAAATAAACCTCATCTTCGTGTTTGATATAGATGATTTTACAGAAATCATTGCAATTCAAAATTGAATTTCACTGTTACAAATAGTAAAGCAGCCTATTCACATTCTCCATTATACTGTGGATTCATATTTCTTTTCATTATTCATCATGCAAATTAAAAATGTTTAAAGAGTAAATTGTGCTTCGTTCATAAAGTTGGATCATTGTCAATTTTGAAACCCTGGAAGGGAACGAAAGAAAAATCGAAAAAACTAATGAAATTCATGAATCCATAGTTTGGTAATTAATTGTTCAACGTAATTGCCAATTCAAATAATTTTGCGCTTAGCCGGTGAGGTGTAGATCGAAATTCCTGCGAATATATTGTATTGGGAATTATTTATGTGTGCCCAGGCGTGCCGAACAAACGGTGAACTAAGAATTTTCTTGAATGCACTCCATGAGAGCAGTCAAATCATCTGAATATTACATTCATATCTGTTCAATTTGATGTATGTAACAAACTTATTAACACAACAATTGAATAATTACTTCGCGAGAAATCGATTCATCTTAGGTGAATAATTCAACTGAAATTATTCACTATGTGTTAATTGCCAAAAAAAATTACGACCAATTGAGTAAGCGAAATTAATATAACCAAAAACGAATCATAAAAAAATTACGCACTTCTATTATTTTTATTTGTTTCAAAAAATTTGGAGGATGAAAACGATTAATGCATATGGAATGATGGATAATAAAAATAGAAATGACAGCAGTTCTAACTCTAAAATTCATCTCTAATTTGCTTAAACAAATTTATTACCACTATAACGGGAAAATGCAGCAATATATCAGATGCGTATAATCTCAATAAATGCGTGGATGTATGAATATTCTAAAGGCGTGCATAGCCGTTGACGCAGAATGGGTAACAGCTGGTTACGATCTCACTTCTTGCAATATTTGATACCTCAAGAGTCATTCCCGAAGGCTCCATTAAATTAAAACACCACGTACAGTTCTGCAGAATTTGACATTTCCATCACAAAATATGATAGAATCAAAAAACATTTTAAACTTTCAAGAAACACGCAAATTTCCGCGTTTCACCACAATTATTTCAATGTAAATAGAGAAAGTCTTTCTGGAAGACATTGAATTAGATTAATCTCTGGAGAAATATTCAATAAAAACTGCTTATGCGCCAAAATAGTCAAAATATACATTAGAGGATGCATTTAACTGCAATCCGTCAGAAATGCTCTTCGGCAGATATTTTTATTTCGTAATGAAGGAAGCAATGACATAGCCAAATGAAAATGTGACATGTAAGATGAAAATACAAGGCAAATAAATGGAGAAATTAGAAGCAAAATAGCAGATTTAAAGTTACTTATAGTTGTCTGTCACCTTGGAGGGCTTTAACTGTTATAATCAAATAGAAGAGCCACAAAGAGACCAAGTGCAATTCCTGCACCAACTGCTGCGATAATCGGACTCCAAAAATGTATGCTGCTGGCGTAATAAAATACAGCAGCTATGGCTAGAAGTGCAGTTATTGCTGCTGCAATAAGTGCCACAATGAAAATCCGAGATGAACCCTGGAGCAACACTAACAGTAAGAAAATGGCGACGAGAAGGGCCGCAACAGTTGCAGCTACCAACAAAATTCCTACGATCTTATATCCGTGCTTTTGAATGCAAGCTGTTCCAAGAATATGTCCAACGCAGCCCCACCTCGGAATTCCAAGAGAAAGAATGAGAAGAAGGAGTACAAGGCCTGCGAGAAGACCATAACCGATATTCTTATTCATGATCGACGCCAAAAATGTAACTAGAGATTAGAGCGCAATGATTTCAATGCCCCCAGCTTAAGTACTACCACTTCATCATTGGCCTCATTACACCCATTTTTCTATAATGGGCAATAAAATGATTTAATTCAATCACAGGCTTCTATAATGAATTAATTATTCTTTAAATGAAAAAATAGCACCTTAAAACACTAAGGTAATAAAGATTAGTCATTGATCCCTGTTTGATATCATGTTAAATGGATCAATAACCACTTCCATATTATTGGCTAAATTGTTGTAAGGAATAAATTGGTAATGCACATGCATATTTATTTTTTTGCTTATGTTACTATCAGTAGCATTTGGTGTACTGCTTTTGTTCCATTTCTCAAATACATGATTTCAATCGTGTTCAGGTTTGTCTCTTCCTTCTCAGTTGTTTTTCAATTTTCTACTGACGCTGTGGTAACTTGACTTCCTTAACTCACCTTCTGGGTCTTCAATTATTAGCTTTCAACTAAGCATAAGATTTTGACATTCTGAGTGTTCAAGTCATCAGATACTTTATCTATTTTTCATTACTTTGTTTTAAGAAATTGAATTTCATTGATAAAGATTCCTATACTGATATAAACCACTAGTTTGCATTTACAACTCCAAATCAATTGTTTGATTTCATTGTAAGTCGATTTTTTTATATTTTAATATCAACATTAGATTTGCTCAATTCTTGCAGACTCCATGGAATAATGCACGATTTCTTTTCTTTTCTTTTGAAGCACAACAATTATAGTGGATAAAGCTACTTTAGTTGCACTCTAAACACGTTATAAACTTCTCGCCAATCAAAAATTTTATTTCAATTTTATTCTTTTTTGCCTACCAATGGCAGCATTTGATCATCAAGAACCTTATAAACATAAAGGTTTAAATGACCAAGTAGGAGAATAATCAAATTTAAGAAGCGCCTGATTCATGGACCGTCGTATTGGTTACATTTTAATCGCTTTCCTTGGAGCCTTTTTATTAATTTTTGCTGTTGGCTTCAACCGGTGGCACTGCAACTCGAGTCTCCTTAGTCCTGCTTGTCGTCAACAACAGGCCAATGTGATCACTGCTGTTCTTTTGTTGGTTGCAGCTCTGTGTATTCTTCTTGCGGGTGGTTTCCTCATCCATCTGATAAAAGAAGGACCCAATTGGGCCCTTTTGACCGCTCTCATCTTGTTCGCCTTTGGAGCAATTCTAGCCATTGCTGGTGTGTGCTATTACACTGGAAATTTTGGCCATTGGAGTCCCATTCTTGCCTCAATCGGTACTGGAATACTAATCTGTCTACTTATTGCAATGGCTTTTGAAATGGCTGGAGAGTAACTTTGAAAACAATGAGACTCAATAAATTTTGAACAATTATAATTGTAAACTTCATATTTTATTTGTTTAAATTAATTCCTAATCACTGCATAAGGTGAATAAATCTTTTGTTTAACAGCATTTAATCAAAATAAATTCTTTCAATTAGCACGAAATATTTCTGTTCAAAATGTTTTTCATAGAAGATAGAAAATCAATAAAATTTATTATCCACTTAAACAAAGGTCAAATTTCAAAAATATTAAATTTGTCATTTGAAAATGCAATTGATTTTTAGTTTCGTAGCCCATACTTAAAATTAGCACCAGCTATACTCTTCTCTTTTTTTACATTTAAAGGTTATTTTGTTACACTCATATACAGAAATTGTGAAAAGCAAATGACATTGAATAGCGAATGTCCAGCCACTTATAACGAGTAAGATGCCGAGAAGGCAATCAAGTTAACAAGAAGACTAAGCACACGTTATTTCGGTTTGCTGTTATGGGATAGTTCCTACATGGATAATGACGATTAAAAATTCGAATTTCAAGACAAATTTGAATTTTAAAGCGAGTGTTCAAATTTAATTTCATATATTCTATTTATTTAACACTTGAGTACTGAAATGAGCATAGTAGCGTGCTCTGATTATCATGTTCAAATGGAAAAGAAGCATTTCAGGTAAAATTCTCTTCGTTAATAACTGTATTTTTGCTCACTGCAAATAGTTAATTTAACTACTATCCGCTAGAGCAGATTACGATGAAAAAATCATCTCCCACATTTAGCTAATCTCATTACAGTTTTGGAGTGCACAACACAGCCCTTTCCGAACACATAATTTTTATACGCACTTTGACAGACTCGAATGTTTGAACGCACTACTAGTGGTAGGAATTGTGATCGATAACACAGAGTTCTCTCAGTCAGCCTCAAATTAACAAATACCGAATTGTACTTCACCCACCAAAGGTCTGTGACAAATGCCACATCTCAAATACACTTTTTTCACTTCAAGTGTCAGTTCCTTCAACAAACTTGTTGTAAATTAGCTAATCCAAGGAACCAATCCAAATTTGACGATCTTACCGCAGCGTTTGCTGAGCAAAAGTTAGACCTATTCGCGTAAAAATTTGGCACAAAGTTCACTACTTCGGAATATCCAGAACCCACTCAGGGGAATTGTTTTGTCCTTCTAAATCCTTTCGACCAAGATCATTAATTTTGCCGCTTAACAAAATAGACCAAGATTAACTTCACGAATCCCTTCTTACTAGTTGTGGAACTTAAATATTCTAAACATATGGAACTCAACTATGTGTTTTTAGTTGTTCAAGGCTTATTCGTTGACAGAGAGTGATTTCCAATTCGATAGGGTTGCGCAACGGCTATTTCACTGACCAAAAATCCAAGTATTCCGTTATCATTTTCAAGCTAAGCGCATTTCGTGCGCTGGTATATTAACTGGATTGGAGCGCTAATTTTATCATTTTAGTAGATGATTCACGTCTGCAGAGTTCTTTAAAGCCCGAGATTACACTCACAATTGACTGCAATCGGAGCATTATATTTATTATTACACTTTACTTTATTACTTTATTATTTCTTCAACGATTAGCAGTTCGGCACGTAAAATTAAAACGCTCGGAGAAATCATTTGAAATGTAATGACTGAACGCAACTAACTCTCCGTTGAATTGTAAAACGATGTGTCTTATTCCCCACCTTTGCAAATTTCAAAGGCAGTCCTTGGCAATGGCATTTAGGAACTTCAAGAGCAATTACGACTAGAAGGTGAACAGGGCTGACGATTGGACTAAAACTGCTATTTCAGAGTAATAAACCCATATATTTCAATATCTTTCCTTGTAAAAAATAAAAGACATACTGCCAATTGCCCATTGAGATAAAATGGAGGTGTTTGTGATATTTTGAGCAAGTGATTCAAACGCTCTACATGCATAGAAGAGGCGTTAATTCTTCTATTCAAAAGCTGCAGTAAACATCCGAGATGAACTCTGGCTGGCCATTAAAAATAGAAAAATGGATACGAGTAGGTCCGCGGTCTCCAGCAAAACTAGTACAAATTTAAAATAATAGTGTCGAATATACGTTGTTTCCAGAAAAAAGTCCTTGGCTGGGTCATTCTGGAACTCTGAGAGGTGATATGAACAGATGGACAACAAGTCATGCGTGAAAACCTAAACTAACGTTCCTATTCATGGGGAAAAACGCAATGCTTTCAATATCTTGATTTAAATAATTGGTTTTTCTTTCTGATGTCTAGGCGATTAAATAAAAACTGGCTGTCCCCTAGCAATAATATGATGACACTCTCCGTGTTTGTATTCCTGAATGTGGAAATGGACTGGAAATATTGAGGTGAACGCAAATAATATTCTTGAGGAAGGATTGGTGGCGATTGGGAGGATATCTGGGCCAAATGAGTCGGGAATATCTGGGGAGCAAATCATTTGTAGAGATATGACTCGATCGAGTAAAATGCGGCCCCTGTTTTTAACTAGCAAGCCAAATGCAGATTGGCGATCAGCACTGATAAGAGGTCATAGCTCGTAATAGTTTCTAAATTAATGCCTGGCTTATCGTGAAGGTAGTTGTTGCTGTCAGTCAATTTAGCTAATTTGTTATGAATGCTCTGTTGAACGCCGTTGATTGGAATTGACCAATTGTTTAGTGAATGCAGTCTCATCAACAATTATTTAAAAATATTGTCATGGGACCCAAAGACACTAGCAAAAAACTGCATGTGACTTAAAAGTTGGGAACAGGTGCAATTTCCAAGCTGGACTTATGAAAGGTTGATTAAGTTAGACGACTGTTTGTGGCTTACTTAAAAGTGTCTAAACGGTTGTCTGTCGAGGGAAATTTATCTCCTTAATAGTAGGCATAAGCTTAGTCGTTTGTGATAAATTGAGAACAGAATAGTGAAACAAAGTGAGACTTCTTTTAACCCTAAACGCAAACTCGTGTTTTATATCAGTATAGGAATCTTTATCAATGAAATTCAATTTCTTGAAGCAAAGTAATGAGAAATACATTACTTTAACTTTAAATTTCTGATGACTTAGGCACTCTGATTGTCAAGATCTTATGCTTAATTGAGCGCTATTTGTTGAAGACCCAGAAGGCGAGATAAGGAAATCAAGTTACCACAGCGTCAATAGAAAATTAAAATTAACTGAGAAGATAGAGACAAACCTGAACACGATTGAAATCATGCATTTGAGAAATGGAACAAAAGCAGTACACCAAATGCTACTGATAGTAACATAAGCAACAAAAGAAATATGCACATGGCTAAGGGTTTTGCATGAATTCGTAATTTGTCATTTATAATTGACCTTACATAACCAACTTATTCATTGCAACAATTTAGTCAATAATATGGAAGTGGTTATTGAACCAATTTACATCATAATAAACAGGGATCAGTGACTAATCTCTATTACACCAGTGCTTTTAGCTGCCATTTTTCCATATGTAGAACTATTAATTTATTCTGAAAGCCTGTGATTGGATTTAATTGTTTTATTGCTCCTACTAGGATAAGGGTGTTGTGATACAATCACGAAGTGGCAGTATTTAAGCAAGGGGATTTGAAAGCTTTGCATTCGTTTCTTTAGTCACATTATTGGCGTAGATCATGAATAAGAATGTCGGTTATGGTCTTCTCGCAGGCCTTGTACTTCTTCTTCTCATTCTTTCTCTTGGAATTCCGAGGTGGGGCTGCGCTGGACATATTCTTGGATCAACTTGTATTCGTATCTCCGCATATAAGATCGTAGGGATTTTGTTGGCAGGTGCGACTGTTGCGGCCCTTCTCGTCGCCATTTTCTTACTGTTAGTGTTCCTCCAGGGTTCAAATCGGATGTTCATTGTGGCACTTATTGCAGCAGCAATAACTGCACTTCTAGCCATAGCTGCTATATTTGATTACGGCGGCAGCATACATTTTTGGAGTCCGATTATCGCAGCAGTTGGTGCAGGAATTGCACTTGGTCTCTTTGTGGCTCTTCTATTTGATTATAACAGTTAAAGCCCTCCAAGGTGACAGACAACTATACGTAACGTTGAAACTGCTATTTTGCTTCCAATTTTTTCATTGATTCATTTCTTATTTTCGGCTCACATTTCACATTCACATTTGACTATGTCATTGCTTACTTCATTACGAAATAAAATATCTGCCGATGAGCATTTCTGACTGAATGCAGTTAAATGAATCCTCTAATGTCTATTTTGACTATTTTGGCGCATAAACAATTTTAATTGAATATTTCTCCTCAAATTAATCTAATTTCAATGTCTTCCAGAAAGACTTTCTCTATTTATATTGAAATAATTGTGGTGAAATACGGAAATGTGCGTGTTTCTTGCAAGTTTAAAATGTTTTGTAGTTCTATCATATTTTGTGATGGAAATGTCAAATGCTGTAGAACTGTACGTGTTTTAATAATTTTTTGGAGCCTTCGGGAATGACTCTTGAGGTATCAAATATGGCAAGAAATGAGATCGTAACTTGTTGTTGCCAATTCTGCGTTAACAGGTATACACACCTTTAGCATATTCATATACCAATTCATTTATTGGGTATAATATTCATTCCAAATAATGGCATATATTTTTCCGTTATGGTGGTAATTAATTAATTCAAACAAATTAGAGATGAATTTTACAGTTAGAACTGCTGCCATTTCTATTTTATTATCCATCATTCCATATGCATTAATCGTTTCCATCCTCCAAATTTATTGTAACAAATAAAAATTATAGAAGTGCGTAATTGTTTTATGAGTCGTTTTTGGAAATACATAAAATTTCGCTTACTCAATTGGTCATAATTTTATTTCTCTGACAATTAACACATAGGTGAATAATTCAGCTGAAATTATTCATTAAGATATATCGATTTTTCGTGATTTTTTTTTAAATTGCTTGTGGCAATAAGATAGTCATGTGAACCCTCTTTAAATGACCTGAGATCAGTAATCAATGAATTAATTGCTCTCCTGGATTACATTCAAACAAAATTCCCATTTACTTTTTGTTAGGTACTCTTGAACTCTCATAAGTAATTTCCCGTAAAATTGATTATAATTCTAAATGATATTTTTCTTAATGTAGTAAAATAGCCATAGTAGTACATTGTTTGCGCATGACATTTTATTTCGAATGACTATTTTCAATGAAACTGGAATTTTGATCTACACCTCACCTGCTATGTTTGGTGTTATTCTAATTTAAAAATACGTTAAGCAATTAATTAATAGACTTCCGATTCCTTAATTTCATTGGCTTTTTTCTATCTTTCTTCCTATTCAAGATTTTGAATTTGGAAACGATCCACCGTTAGTCCAATTTCCCTGTCTATTCATAGTTTTGAGAACAAAATATCTGCTAATTTTTTCTGTTAACATTTTAATCTATTGTATAAATATTGAACAGAAACATAGAACCATAGCATATTGTAGAATGTAACTAATGTTCTAAATTATTTGGAATAATAAGGGGTGTGCCACAGACTTACCTTTATGTGGTGCACCCTGGACAACGTATGCCCATTGGGAAAGCAAGTTTGCAACTCGGCAGTTGACTTTAAACTATTATGACCACCTAGAAACAAAATTTCAATAGAAGAAATCGTCCTTGTCTGGGCGAATCAATGCTTCTACACACCTTCAGTGGAATGCTGGAGGGATGTCACAAGACAGGAAGATCCAAATCCAGAAATTTCCGCATATCTATGATATAGACATATTCACAATCATGGAAGCCAACCTTACGGATGACAAATCCAAATATTACAAATTTCCAGGTTACACCTTATATTGCCTACCTAAAGACGGGCATGTGGCCAGTGGAATATTGACTGGAGTTAAAGAAGACCTCACATCGAATTGCGAAATAATTATGTGCATGGACTCAATGCAGAATATATGCAAAATAATTAGTTTAAATGTTTAGAAAAGTCCAAACTACTTCAAGATGTACGTGATCTATAGTCCTCCCCAGAATAAACCAAACTTCGATCTTCTGAACATCTCACACAAAGCTAAAGTACTTGGATACTTCAACGCTCATCCCAACAGATGAGGCCATAAGAACATAAACACGGCTGGGAAGGAGATCGAAGTTATGATTAAAGCAGCCCTCTAGAACTTATTTACAACAATGATGATCCTGCTACTTGCCTTCACTACAACGGAATCAGAACAACCTCTGACTTGCTCCTGGCTCTAAGTGACATCAGCAAGCTTACACATCGCAAAATAATTGACGATCCTGGTTTTGATCACAAACCAGTCTTTACTTATATTATCCTCAACAACAAATGCGTGACATCCAAAATGCCAAATAAGCTGTCACAAACCTTTCATCCGTAGAGTTGGCTTTCATGATTGTGACAATTTCTATATCATTGGTACGCAGATTTTCTGGATTTGGTACTTATGACTTGTGACATCACTCTACTGAAGGATCTGTAGAAGTTGGGAAGCTGCTCTGTAATAAAGGATTTTTCCTATTGGAGTTTGACTTCATGCTGCTCATGTTAGTTTAAAGTCAACTAACGATTTATTTACTTTTTGCTGTATGAGTATATGTTACACCACGTTTGTGGTTAGTCTATTGCGCATCCTATAAAGTGATGTTGAAGCGAAGAATTTCAAGAGAGCTTAAATGCGGTTTTGGTTTCTGATGGCTTAGACGTTCATATAGCTATGTTCTTGAGTTAATCTGAGCGCTTATACTTGAAGATTGGAAAATAGTACCGGGAAGTATGTTTGCTAAAGTTTCAATTGAACATCGACAAGATTTGTGAAGGAGAAGGATAAAGGATAAGCAACACACCATATTTTAAGTGTGGTGGTAAATTTCTCTTTAATGTGCATTTACTCAAGGATTATTCAGAAACAAACGTCCTTCCTAAACGGCTTTGTGAATTCAAACCGATACATCAATAATGAGTATAGCGTAAGTGATCTTAACTATCAGGTAATTATGCAGCCATTGAAGTCCCATCTTGATTCCTCTAATATGTAAAATATTCCAGTTTTCCATAAGTAGAAAAAATTAATAAGTCTAGAAGGTTTGTGATTCGTTGCTATCGTTTTATTATTTTTGTGGCTGTTGAGTATTGTCATAGCAATATATAAATGAGGTAAACATCAAAATGAGAGGCTAAATTTAAGCCTTGATCATGAATCGAAATATCGGTTTTGGTCCCATTGCATGTCTTGTTCTCCTTCTGCTTGTACTTTCTCTGGGAGTTCCAAGATGGCCCTGTGCAAGTTATATTCTCGGAAAAAGATGCACTCAGTACCACACACTCAAAGTCGTTGGAATTTTGTTAGCAACCGCGTCTGTTGCGACTCTACTTGTCGGCATTTTCCTACTCTTCGTGATCCTCCAAGGCTCATCTCGAATGTTCAATGCGTCACTTATGGCGGCAGGAATAACTGCTCTTCTAACCACGGCGGCAACATTTTACAACGCCAACTCCAATCCCCTTTGGTGTCCGGCCGTCTCTACATTTGCTTCAGGCATTGCTCTTGGTCTCTTTTCAACATTTCTATTTGATCATCTCAGCAAAAGGTCTCCAAGTTAACGCACACGATTGACCAAATCTGAAACAATGATTTATTTTTTAATTTCGTCATAAAATTGATTCATTTATTTATTTTTTCTCATTACATATTTACTATTTACTTCGTCTTAACCAAGATAAACTTGGTTCATTTATTTTTGAAAGAATTGCGCTGTGTTGAGTAGACCATAATTCGGACAAGCTTATAGCGTGATAGCTTCTTGGGTCGTAGAGATCTCACGATAGACTGAAACTAGGTGGCGTTTGAAATGAAGTACTTAGCCATTAAATTTTCATGATTTCCGTCAGGAAAAGCATTTTGTTTGAAGACCCGATAGTCTCTGCGTGGTCTCCAGTCGTCGATTTTTATTTTCTAATATAAAATGGGTGAGCCAATTGGTTACCTGAAGGTCAAACGATTGCTAAATAAATAATGTGGAGAAATTACCTTTTGGGTTTCAGTTAATTGCAGGAATAAAGATGACTTGCTCCGACGAAAGCGTTTGCAATAATATGAGGAACCACCACATGACTGGGGTTTCAGAATTGAGTAATGTGCGCGAAAAACTACATGAAGTCAGAGAAGATTCTCGAGAAAGGATTACTGATGGGTAGGAAGACATTCAGGCCAAGTGAGCTTTGGACATCTGTAGAGCTTAGTTGTATAAGGATGTTGTTGGCGATCAAATTCCTATCTCTGAGATTAACAAGAAAGAAGAATTTAAAGTGGAAATCTGCACCGGTTATAGTTGTTTGTCCGACAGCTTTTTTGCAGACCAATCACTTTTGAATTTCCCTCTAAATGCCACTTGCTTTCTGTCCTGGGTAGATATTACTCCGTTTATCAACTTTATACGGTTATTCCAGTTAATTTTGCAATCCTTTCTCAGCTTTTTGCAAACAACAACTATAATCCCGACTGGTTATATTCAAGCCACTGGATGGCACACAAATTCAGAGATGTCGTAATCATTAGAGAAATCTAGTTATATGTACGATGCGTTCTTTAATTTTCAACTTTAGACCTAAATTATTAGTGCGATTGAAACCCAAGATAGCATCTCTAAAATCTTTTGGAAGGCAGACAATTTACCATTTGCACTGTTCACAAGCTCTTAATTTAAGCTTTTGCGTATATGCTTTATAGCCTACAAATCTTCCATTTTGAAACCGATCAACTTGCAAACATTTTTATTTCAAATGACAGGCTTTATGATATTTATCATTAGCCCCTTAGTT